CTGACAGCATTGCCCATTATTTCAATAAATTCGTCACAAGTAGCATGTGACAAATAACTAACAGAACCACTTCCCTTGTTACCGTACCGCGCAATATGATTTGCTAAGAAAGGGTCAAATTTTGACAAATAATTCAAGCAACTAGTAAAGTTGCCGTCATTGTTGTCATGACCACGAAAAGCCAAACCTTGAGAGGAAAGAAACTGTACAGTTGCTACAATCCTTCGTAGAACTTCTCTCCAGTATTGCCTTTCATCATCTGACTGTTTCGCCATTTGTTTGTCAATACGCCCGTTTGCGTTTAGCCAAAGTGTACATTGCTTGAACATGGCCATACGAATTTTCATGTTCAGAAATTTTCGCGGCAATATTTTTCCAATCTGAACACCCATTTGTTGAAAATTGACTAACTTTATTTGGAAACAGTTTGCATACATAACAATAAACACTTCCACTAGTTTCACTGAACACTAACTATTCATGTCTTTCTTTTTGGCCATTCGCCTTGGTCAAGTAAAAGTTATGTTCAGACAAATAACGAAAATATTGTCTGCCACGATCTGTCATCAACATGCTAGCACGTGAAAAGTCGCCAACATTTTTTGGTTTGAAATCCAAAACATAATTACGCATGGTTTCTGTCAAATTCGCTGGCCACATAGCAATATCTGTCAAAATTTCACTACAGTTGTTATCAACAGTTTCAATACTCGCGACCTCTATAGAACCTTCAGCCGGCGGTTCAGATTCTGGCAATTCTGTTGGATAGGACTCAGAATCCATACTGGCTGTTGCCGAGACGACTGCACTTTGATTACCAGCTGTTATCTGTTATTTCTGTTTGAGTAGTTTCTGATGATGGGGTTACCGGTCGTTTCGCTAAAAATGTCATCAAAGCGCCTTCATTTTTCGCATCTTCTGCTTTTCTTTTCTTTTGAATATCACGTTTTTTTGCACCTGAGGAATATTGTCTCATAGACATTGTTTTAATGAAACGATTGTGTTGCAATCAGCAGCAGAAAGGGAAAATGATCATTCATCCACACAGTGAAATTATTAAAATAGTGTAATAAACTGGCAATTAACAATAAGTTATTGCAAAAAATTAAAATTTGAATTGAAATTTTTAATTGAAATCTGTGACGTAAGATGCGCCAATAGTGTTCGAATTTTACCACAATTCAAAAGTTTGTTTACATTTTTAATTTAGGGTTGAGCGAAAATTCGCGCGCGCATTTTTGGCAACGCATAAATTGTTGTTTGTATATTTTTTTTTCATACGTTGTTCAAAAATATTTAGAAATAATTATGAAATATATTATCTGAAAATGTAAAATTAATTTTTCTCAAACTTATTAAAATTTTTGTGCGAAATATTTTGAAGCCTCCAAAAAACTCATTTTTCAAGTTTTTGGGGCCCCTAAAATCTGGGGGCCCTAGGCGCGCGCCAGAGGGTTGTAAAAATCTACTGAAGAGGTTATATAAAGGACTAATGTAGCGAAGTCAGCTGCGAGGTTGTAAATGTGATTTTTTTTTATCCGTTTATTTTTCAAACATTAAAAAAAAAATTTTGAAAAAAAGGGTCCAGCATAACCACGAGTGTTTTTTTCAGCCAACCCCAAAAACATCCAATTCAATACATTTAAAGTCACATATTCAATTGATCACTCACAAAAAAGTAATAACGGAAATAGTTATGATCAAACATTATTTGGCTGTTAATAATATAATAGTAATTTCCAATTGTACATCTCATAGACAAACATTCAAACACAACACTCAAATGTGATTTATAAAGTTACTTGGTTTAGTTTAGTGTTTCTGTTATTGTTAGCATTAAAATAAACGTTCAACAAAGTTTGCGCTTGAAGCAGTTGTGTTCATTTATTGGAAATCTTGAACCTACGGAATAACGAACACTTGACGATCGTTGGAAGCTACAACACTGGGTTTGGAAATATAGAGATCTTTGAAGTTATAATATTGGTTATTGTAGTAACGAGCGTTTAAAGTGATTACAACATTATTTTCTTTATGTTAACGTGGTGTATGCTGTCTCATATTAAGAGTTTCCTATTTGCTAAACGTACCAGTAGTTGTGAAATTTTAAACGGCAATAAAAAAATGTATATAAAAAAATATATTAAAACCACTGCCATTCAAATTGCACGTAGGCCTATTTACTTTGAAATAATCTTCAACCTGCAAATGAGGTGCATGTTATAAAAGGCAGCCTCTTAAACATTCTCTCGAGTGGGAAAAGATGATTGCTGTGCAATCTCGTTAATAATTGCTGTGCAATCTTGACAGAAGTGGGATGATTGTCTCTAGGCAAAATTTTATCATACACTTCTCGAAATGGGAAAATAAAATAATGCCTTTTCAGTAATAATTGTTTTAATTACAAATTCCAAATAATAACCTAACACTTACAAACGAAGTTTTATAATGAAAATCATACTTCTAAATAAATACGCTAATTTAAAATAATCATTTTAAGTCTAACTATGAAGTTTTAAACTGAAAAATATAGATCTGCACTGATTTAAAACACAGTTATTAGTGAAACTGAAATTCTGGTTGGGGTGAGATTTTTGAAATGAGACAATAAACGGTTTGCATACTTGTGTTTTACTTTTTTAACATGTTGAAATAGTAAAACACTGGTTTAAAAACTTACGGTAAAAAACCAATGTTTATTTTACAGACTTTAACAATTTAGTCATTACAAAATTATTCAAAATCATGAAATATTAAATACAAAAATTTTCATAGACACATTCTTGTGAGAGGTTTGAAGCTGCAAAATTCTTTGCTACTCTACGAAATAAAAGAATTATATTTCAGGATTTTGTTTGATTTAATTTTGTGCCAAAATAGCTTCCAACCAACAATTTAGAATTTAAATCATCATAATTTTCTATCTAAAACGCCATCATCATCGTAATCGTCGCCATGAAAATAATCGACATTATCACCACGCCACCATCATCGCCATATTAACGATATTGTAATCAACATCATCATCTTCATCATCGTGTAACAAGAAACCCGAGGCACAGGCGTTAGTTTCCCACCAAATAAAAACTTGCCAGCCATTCATCAAACATCCATTGAAGAAATTTCACTCGCTCATCTAATCATTTAATTAAATTTTGGTTTGTACTTTCGTTCACCCGTTCGTTCGTCCCATTCATCTACACAAACAAGCTAATCTTTAGCCAATTTCAACTACACCAATAGATGAAATGACTACTTATGAGATGAATGCAGTTTTACTCTCGAAAACACATTCTAACATAATTATATATGAACTATATAATTTTGAAAATTGAAAATTGTTTTGAAAATTGTTTAAAATAAAAGTTAAAATTGTTTAAATTGAAATAATTTAATTTATTTTAATAATTTAAACAATTTGAAAATTGTTTAAAATAAAAGTTAAATTATCTCGTACTGCGTGCATAAAAATTTATTGAATCGAAAACAGCGAAAAGATTTTTTCGTAATGTCTCTCTCTTAAATAAAGAAATAATTCAATAAATAATAATGACTTCTTGAATAAATACCAAATAATTCAGAGTATTACCACACAAGAGCTTTTCTAACTAATATAGCTTTAACACACTCGTGTTATAGTGTTATAGTAGTGTGATCATCATTGACGAACCGATTATAGGACTGAAAGTTCGTTTGGTAAATGCACGCACCAAATCCATCGCAGATTAAAATAATAACCTGCTCATGACGGCAACGGTGATGGAAGACATGCTGATGTGACGTGGCATTACTCCTAGAACAAACAGTTCTTCCTCTGACTAATCACCAAACCGGGAAATAATTTGAGGTAATGAACATAGTCATATGCATAAATTAAATAGGGTAAAGTTTGACAGGAGTTCTTCTTGTGAGCATATTTCATTGAAAATGATCGCAGCGATAACGTTATTCATTTTTTTCATAATTCTTTCATGATTTCTCGTTAACTTTTATCATTAACGTTTAATTGTTTGATTCGTATAGATCTCCTAAGTATCGGGGCCTAAATTTTTAACGAAGGTTCTTCAAATTTAGTTAAAATATTTATGTTCAGCTTTCAGTTAAAATCTATTCAAACCTAATAAAAAGTTAAAATTGTGAAAATTTGTTTCATACTGTTAGCAATTGGAATGGCCAATAACTGTTAATGAAATATATTTTTCTAAGTTTGAACTTATCCCAGTAGTAAAGCATTGTATTGTATTGAATTGTATTGTATACTATTGTATTGTATTGTATACTATTGTAATGTGCTGTTTTGTATCGTTATGTATTGTATTTTATTGCATCATATCAAATTGTATTTTATTGCATTGAATAACATTATATCGTATCGTTTTCTCACAGAGAAGAAACCCGCAGTAATAAAATACAAGCATGACGTGTAGATGTGCGTGTGTGTATGTATGTTGGAGTGTGTGTGCCTGTGCATGTGTGTAAGTATGTGTGTACGTGTGTGTGTGCATGTGTGTACGTATGTGTGTGCGTGTGTGTGTGCATGTGTGTACGTATGTGTGTGCGTGTGTGTGTGCGTGCGATGTTTGCATGAATTTATGACGAACATAAAACTCTCGAAGTAAACACGCACACGTAAATAAATCGCGTTAACGCATTACGCAATCACAGTTTGTTGGAAAATTAACTGACACAAAGAATTGTACGCCAGTGTTAACCGAGGCATGCATCAAAAAGGTAATAACAGGCTACATTTGTAAATGGAAGAATAAAAAAAAATTGTTATATTTTTTGTTATTCTTCCATTTACAAATGTTGGTTATTGTTCATCTGGTATTTTTATATGCCTGGTATTGTTTATCTGGTATTTATCTGGTATCTAATTTATTTTAAAGATTGTTGTTGTTAAGATATGAGAATAATCATCATTGTTTAAAATGTTTACATCATGTTATCTTTTGTGGTTTGCTTCAACAGGGTAGTCTTTTATTTGCTTATAATAAAAATGTTTTTCTGTGTTTACTTTGTGATTGAGATGAAATATAATAAATTCAATAACTCAATCACCTTTCAAACATTTTATGTTGCAAAATATTTTTTGGTATTAATTACAATCACTATCCACTCGGCGAACTGTTTCTTAATTAAGACATTTCGTCCATATCTTCTTTACTGTTATCTTCTTTACTGCCATTTCGTCATGGCACGTCTCAGTGAGTTAATATAAGTTCCATTGTTGTTTTCTCTGGAGTATACCAACCTTTTATTGATTGTCGCCTCCGTAACTTAAAACTTTTATATCTATTTTTGGATACTACCAGAATAATTTCTGTAAGATATCAAATACCGGGGTTGAAATAAAATTAAATCACTCTATTCTAAATGTACGACATATAATATTGATAGTTCATCATCTGTGTCCTTGTGAGTTTTTCTTCATAATAGGTTTAAATGTAATGTATTGTTGTATACAATGTAAATACAAATCTCGTTTGATGAGTAAACTATTATTGGCACTAGACTTAACTATAATGCGGACTTTGTTAAAAAAAAGGTTCCCTGTCAGTCATCGCAAATTGTTATGGTGGTCATATTTTAACTTCCATTCGAAAATTGAATTTGGTACAGAATTCAATATTCACACGATTCGTTTGTGAGGTACGGGACTGTTTACATTCAGTTATCGGCCGTATCTCAGATAGCAATGGACACTAAACTGTTCCTTATTTTGAGGTTTGCCTGATCATTTGTTGCATGTGGAAGAGTTACGTTGTTAACGTATGAAGTCATCACTTTTGAGCAAGGAAGTTTGACAATTTCTAACGAGAACGAGATGACGTATAATTCCATTCATTATTCTTCATTCAGAAACCTCACGTCTGTTAAATTTTCACGCCTCCGTAACTTAAAACTCATATCTATTTTTAGATACTGCCAGAAAAATTTCTTCAAGATATCAAAATATTCATTTGTGTCATGAGGCGTTGTTGAAAAATGAAGGCACGTCAAACAAATGTGAAAAGAATAAGAAAGGAATGGAACAATAGAATATAATCTATGACATAATAAATGTTAAAGTTCAAAGGTCACTGATAATGATACCAATAATAAAATAGAATATAATAAGAGATGAATAAATGGAACGAATAATTATTGAGCAAAATGATTATCTTATAATTGAAAACAATTGTTAGATTAATAAAAAATTTTGAAAATTGAATTCTCATCAATTATTTGCTCGAAAATCAGCATTGCGTGCTCCGTGATCCCATACCTATGCTTGATTCAGTTAAATCAGGGGTGTGTAAACTACGGCCTACACTAAAGCTATTTTATGCGGTCGGCGAAGCCTTGTCACCAAAAAAAGATCTC